CTAATTGGTTTTATATGGCTTTTGTCCTGCTTTCAGCAAATCCAATACCGGCTGTGACTGAGTTTGTTGCTCAGCTGGCGATCCTTGAATTGCTGGATAATGTATTTATTCTCTCTCTCTCTCTCTCTGCATTTGGGCCTTGGCAAAGTTTCTCAGTATTAACCTAGGACATATCTCTGTTACACAAAATTAGGGTATTTTTTCTGCTGGGTACAAGGCTGTTCTGCACATCCAATCTGTACGTGAAGATTGTGAGGTTATTGAGCTCATACATCAAATTGATCCAAAGACAAAGAAGCCCTTGAAAAAGAAAGTTCTCTTTGTGAAGAATGGTGCAAGTGTTGCGTGCCGAATTCAGGTACTGTTTTTTGTAATCTTGGATGCAAATATGTATGAGATATTGTCAATACGAATCTATATTTCTTTTAATTTTATTTTTATCCTTTTTTCCCTCTCAATTTTTTCGTACGTTTCATTTGAGTTCATCTGCCACCGACCCCAACTTGTTTGAGATAAATGTGATGTTGATTGATTGTCATATTGTCTTACTAGGGTTTTCTTGGGATACAAAAAGGTTTTCATTTCCTGATGATTGTGTGGGATGATTCTTGAGTTTCAAATTAAAAGGAATTCATTATTTTTTCATATATTTAAGCTTTTTAATTGGTCTTGTTTTGGAAATGTTCTTATAGGTTAGTAACTCGATATGCATTGAGAAATTCTCTGATTTTCCACAACTTGGGAGATTCATTCTTCGTGATGAAGGTGAGATTTAAGAAATGATATCTTCCTTTTCTTCCAAACTTCTTCGTGGTTTTAATATATGTTGAAAGAGCATTACTCTGTCCTGCAGGAAAAACCATTGCAGTGGGAAAAGTCACTGGTCTGTAAGTTTATAACAATTTGGACTCGAGGTAAGAATATTTTATGAACATTCTTGCTTGTTTCACTTGTCAAGCTGCTATTTCCTTTTATGGTCAATCTTGTCGATTGATATACTGTTATATTCATTGAAGATGTTACTGCATGTTCCTCTAGCATATGTGGCCTGCTTTTCTTGACAATTCAGTTCATATGCTTTAATGTAGCTAGGTAGAGTACCTTTTCTTCACTGCTTATCTTTCTTTTGCGTCCGATAAATTTAAACATCTGGACATTTGACTTAGAAATGGTTGAAGTGAAATATCAATTTTGGCATTATGTTTCAATCTCTATTATAGTTTGGGTTCTTATAATTTTCTGTATTTATTGGACAAAGTATAACAATTTTTTAGACGAAAAGAATATAAAATCAATTTATGTGAAGAAAAAATGAAAAAAAGAAAGAAAGAAATTTTCCTTACAAATTCTTGAAAAAGTCGTCATCATGAGTCAGTAAAAAGGTTTTTTAATAAAAAATGGACATGATTTATCTTGTCTAATTTCCCAGAAGTAAGAACTCACTCAGTTAGTGTTTGGTTCGGGAGAAATTTTTTTTTACCAGGGAAATGTAATTGATAGGAAAATAGTTGGAATGTGAGTTTGGTAGGAAAATGTAAAAAAAGTTGTTTGGTTGACCCAAATATTACCAGGAAAATTTATTTAAATATGTAAAATCTATGTTCGGGAGAAACTTTGCACTTGTTTTTTCACTTTCCCAGTTATCTCAAAATACCACATCTCAAGTGGTATTCTGTAACAGTGAATTTCATCCGAAAATCAACACAAAAGTCATTTTCCCATCTATCCTATTTGCATGGTATTTTTTGAAAAAACCTGAACCTAACGTAGTATTTTTCAATATCCACTTACACTTTCCCATCAATCCCAAAATAAACCTTCAACCAAACACTACCTCACTTTTTATTATTTTTGTTTTTCTTTATACATTATGCTTTATAAACACCGGGCAACTCCTCTCCCGTTGGAAGTGACTAACTACCTTATGTTTATTGATTCATCTTGTACAATGGGTCACTGGTCTTTGACTGGCCACTAGCAGGCTAGCTGCCTAAAGACACTGTTCTATCATGAAACAGTCTTCTATCATCTGACTAAAATTTCAGTTTCCATTTGTGGTTTTTGTTTTGGTTTTTTTTTTTTTGGGCAATTTGGTTACTATACTTATATTCCAACAGATCTTTGTCTTGTGTCGACAGGACATAATTCTTGCACAGACAAAATGGAGTGGCAGAATTGAGGCATAATTGACAACATCAAGTTTAAGATAAATTTTGTTTTTCTATTTTAATTTTCTTTGTAGTAGTTGAGTGGAAGTTTATTATTATTTTTATTATTGGTAGAACGAAGTTTATTATTTAATTTGCCGTTTATTATTCTGTTTGTAATATAAAATACATAGGACAAGTTGTTATGTAGTTGGTAGGTTATATTGTTCTCTGAAACGTGTCTTACATAAGCTGGAGGTACTACTCCTGAATTAAGTGTACTACTGCAAAATCTCGAACAGTCAAGACGAAGGTAGTTAAAATCGAGATTTTATATAAAATTGAAAGAGTGATAAAAAATTGTAAAACGTAAAATCGTAATGTAAAAAAATTATAAAAAATTGTAAAAATGTAAAAGTATTTGGAATATTTGTAAAATTGTTTTGATGAAAAAAATCATAAAAACGTAAAATTGTAATAATAAATCAAAATTTTAACTATCATAGTTCATATTGCTATTTTCTGCTTGAATACTTGTAACAGTGGAAATGGGATGTACAGTATTACCAATTTGATCATAGCTGAACTAAGTTTGAAATATTGTTAACTACGGAACTTTGGTTTGGGGATATGATCACATTTAATTCTACATTGTGAAAATTTATTAGGTTTATGGTTTTTTTCAATTATAATGTATTACGGCTGTTTTTATCCCGTTGACATATTTGTCTAATGGATTCCATCTTTTTCAAATCTCTACTTTGTTAGAATTTAAAACCGATAAAAAAATTAAAATATTATTATTTAATTAAAAAATTATAAAAACATAATATTTTAGAATCAATTTGCGGATTTATTGCATTTACAAACTTGCCCAAATTAAGTGAGATTTGGCACTAGTCGTGAAGTGATGAACCGATTGAAATAACGGCAGAATTGAGGCATAATTGACAACATCAAGTTTGAGATAAATTTTGTTTTTTATTTTAATTTTCTTGGTACTAGTAGAGTGGTTTAGATTGCTATTTTCTGCATGAATGCTGGTACTATTGGAAATTGGATGTGTACAGTATGGTCAATTTGATAATAGCACAACTGACTTTGAAATATTGTTAACTACGGAACTTTGGTTTCAGGATATGATCACAATTAATTCTACATTGTGAAAATTTATTAGGTTTCTGGTTGTTTTCAATTAAAAGGTTTAATCCCGTTGATATATTCGTCTCATAGATTCCATCTTTTAAATTTCTACTTCGTTAGAACTTAAAACCTCGAAAATAATAGTGGATAAGTTCTAGCCTAGGTGAGTTGAAAAGCAAATTATTTTTTCACTTCTCAAACTATGGTTTTGAGATCAAACTTCTACTATACATATCCCGAATGTGATTTTGCTGAACTGAGATAAGTGAAATGCACTTTTATAAATCACGATTTTGGAGGGTGCAAACTTTAAATCAAACTTTCAATTTATAACAATTAGAAATTTTTATTTTTTTAAAAAACAAACTTTACAAAAGAAACAGTTTAGTGTTTGACTAGTTTTTTTCTTAAGTGTTTAACGACAATCAGACTTGCCACTATCATCTTTATCTATAATGTTGTTCTTAAGCCTTTACAACGCTTTTCTTTTAGAGTATGCCTCTTTGACATGTGTCAAGATGCTCAAATAATGCGAGGAATGCGAACTAATTTTATAATACAAAAGTCAAATTCCTTCTATTTTAACATGACAATTACTGATCTGAACAAATATTATATAAATACAAGGCCCAACCCAAAAGCTTTCACAATGAAGCAAAGTTTTAGTCCACAAAGGCTGCTATCTCATCTTCATCCCCAAGCTCAATACAGCCATCAAGCACCACAATATTAAAGCCTATTTAGCAAAGCTCCTCAACATTAAAGGCAGCATGACACCAAGCAACTTCAAGATACTTCATCTCCAAGTATACTTCAGCATTAAGACATCTACAAGCTGCTCATCACTTTACTATAAATACATATATCAACACTAAGGTACATCATCTTCTCCTACATAATTAAACCTGCTTGAACCAAATCTGACTTGAGCGTCGGAGTGTCTTGCAGGTACACCACCATCGCGTTCCATTGAAGACCCATGGGATAAAGCAGCCCAATTGCAAGATGCTCTGATCCAAGACGATTTTAGGCTGTGTAGAGGAAGATCACATGATCGGCCCAGTTGTAAAGATCTGTTCCGATCAATTACCATAATAGTTTTTCTTAAATATTTATTATTTTAAAAATATGAAAAAACATTAATTAAAAAAGTAAATAATTTTTTTAGGATTAATTACGTTTTATTTCTAGTCTTTTTTTCAATTTTTTTGAAATAATTATTCTAAACTTTTTTTTATCACTTGATCCTCTTAACTTTGATTTAAATTGAAAATGTTAATTTTTTTAATTAACTTTAAAGATCGTTTAACAAATTTTTTACCTCTTATCCTATTTTTTTTCTTAAGGAAATAATGTGTAAAATAAATTGTAACCTTAGGGAGAAATTGAAAAATTGTTAAACCGCACGGAAATAATATGTAAAAAGCCTTTAAAGATTAACGTTTTCAACTTAAACCAAAATCGAGGATGGTTAACCGAAAAAATAAATAAATTGAAGAATGCTAATTTCCCCCCTAAAAAGATGGCATTATAAAGGTATGACATGTAATTTATTCAAATTTTTACTTCAAAATCTTCAATAATCTTTATTCCCCAATGTATGTACACAATACACAAATACATGCTTTTTGGATTAGTAGAGAAATCCAACCAAACAACTAATAAAAACTGAGTCCAAAATGGGTTATAAAAATAAAGGGCCGACCCAGTTCAAATACCCACTTCGTGAGTGTCTGGGAAATGGGTTATAAAAATAAAAAAATAAAAAAATAAAAGATGGGAAGTTACCGTGACCTTCTTTCAAAAAGCTCATTTATTTCAACATCAATCAAATCTCATATGTCCCCTATATAAGTGAGAGTGGAAATGTTGTATCCTCATTACATTTTCTCATACACCCTATACACAAACAAAAGGTGTTTGAGGAAGAAAATTTAGATAGAGAAAAAAAATAGTGATGATTGATTGGATGTGAGGGATGTGAGAAAATTGGTATGTGTACATAACATTTCCTAAGTCACAGTTTTTTATTGGCTCTAAAAAAAGCAACTAATTATGACCTTCTGAGTAACGATATTTGCACCATTATTGTATCCATAAATCTGCAAGCTCTAATGACTCCTCTTGAACTTCCTCTTAAATTAGGATGTAGCATTCATATGAGACATGAATGCAAGATTGTGCAAGTACCTTGCCACAATTAAGAGGAGAGAGTGGATATGCTTATTACTGTACAAGTTTGATGTCTGGATTTCTCATTGTTCTGAGCCACATGTCAGCCATGATTCTTGATGAAATGCTCCATAACAAGTCTTGCCCTTTTATAAATGCATGTTTGCCTTTCTTCCCTCCCTTTCCCAATCCATATTCAATCAACCAATGCATTGCAGCTAGCCTTTGCTTCTCAGTGTCCCATGCATTCTTCTTTGTAGCACTTCTCACCTTAAAACCTCCAACATGCATGCTTGTTACTTTGAACCTTTTCTCCTCCTCCTCCTCCTCATCATCTTCATCTTCATAATCATTCCCCTTTGTGTCTGCACTTGTTGCATGAACCAACACCATCATAGGACCCCCAACTGCTTCAAAGCTTCTAATTGGATCCCTCAGTTGGACAACAAATATCAGTGTGATATTTGATGGTTCACTATCAGAATTTGCATTAGTGTTACTGTAGCTTTGGTCTCTAATCCAATCCTCAAGTGAAATAGCAGAACCCAATAGATCATTTTCTTTGTTATCTGCCTTTGTGCTGAGTGCTGAAACATCAAATGGAGCTTCTTCCTCAGCCATGCCAGCTTGGATTTTCAATGCTTCAATAGCCATGAACTCAATCTTCTGCATTGTAAAAGCTAGAATTTTCTCTGCAGTTAGTGGGGTTTCATCCACATTCCAAATTCCTGTTGAAATCCTTTCTTGTCTTCCTGAACTCATTGCATTTGCCATGCCTTTCAGTGCAGAAACTATACGTGCAGCACTTGAACTAGCTCCTTCCTTGTTTCTACCTTGTATGATGGCAGAAGCAATGCCTTCAAAAGCAATCTGTTCTGCAGTTTTACCTATCAGTTCATCTATGGACATCATGGAGAAAACTTGAGAGCTGAGTTCTTCAAGACCAATGCTAGCCAATTTCTGAAATAACTCTAACCCATTTAGGGATTGATATGATGCCAACACAAAAGGCTTTGACATCTGCATTGCTAACTTTGGAGTATCATTTCTATCCGCAGCATCATCTAAAGGGTTCATAGATGCCAAGTAGCCTCCATCCCTTGTTTGAACCACACAACCCAAGCCCTTGCCAAGATCAGGTAGATAAACTGTGGATTCTCCCTCTGCTGAAGAATGCTCATGTCCTTCAAGTTGTAAAGGGGGGATTTCAGATTGGTTGATTTTGTATCCTCTGGTCTTTTGATCCTCAAGCATCTGAAGAAACTCCCTTGTCACAGTTTCTTCATCATCATCCAATCTTTGTGACTCCGTTTCCTCTTCTTTTATGAACCTATTATCTTCTCCCATCATGAACTCAAGAGCTTTCAACTGTTTGGCAATTGAAGCAAGCTCACTTAATCTAGCTAGGTGCAACTGATCATGCATTATTTCCTTGACAATCTCACTTGAAGTTGACTTCACTTCCAAAGATTTCTCAGATTCTTCTCCTTCATCTTCTTTCTTCTCTTGAACCTCAACCCCTTTATCAACAACCTCAAAATCTGGAAGATCAAAATCCTCCACCTTTTCTTTGCCACCTTCAAGTTTTTGTGTAGAGGGGGAATCCTGAACTGGGTTTGGCTCATCAAGGTTCAAATCATCCATAGCTTGAATATCTTCAGCTAACCTTATCTGTGAAGGAGTCCAAGCATCATTTCTGCTTGTTATTCTAGGACTAGGCATGCTGAAGGATGCCTTTGATTGTTTGCGAGCAAATGAAGATGTGAGATTTCTGAACTTGCTGGACTTCAAATTCTCATCCTGGTTATATATTTCAAGTCCTCCATCTTTCTCCATGATTTGGAAACCAAGTTTCAGAACTAGTTCTCCACCTTTTGCCTTTCCAGATAAGCTAAAGCTTGTGTCCCACTGCCGAATCCGTGAACCTTGCTGATTTTTCTCAATGGATTCTTGAATCAACTGGCTCAAGTCAACAGAGTTTCTTCCAAAATTAAGCTCTTTGGCATCAACTGCAACAAGGTATATCCAAAACGGTCTTTGCTCAAACTTAAGCTGCTTTCCACTACCATGGTTGCAATAAACATGGCACCTTATGAAAAGGGTCTCTTCAAAATCTGCAGCTCCTTGAGCAACACGTGATGGCATTGTTTGAACAGCACCATCCTTCGTCTCTTTCTTTCTAACACAAACAGAAAGCCTTAGTCCATTCATTGATGAAGGAAGGCCTTGTGCAGTGACCACTTCAACAGAAAACAAACAACTTATTTTCTGCATTCCAATATGAGAAAGAGCCCTTATAGGCTTCCAGCTCCAAATCCCTTTCTTTTCAACTGAAGTTGATGTGTCATCAAACTTTTTGATATCTGGCTTAGTGGGGGGTACCTTAGCACCTTCAAGCTTTGGACTTGATTTCCATGGGGACAAGGACATGCGACGGGACCTAGGTTTGTTATCAACTTCAACAGTGTTATTGCCATCTTCAGCAGATGGAACAAAAGGAGGTGAGGTTCGAGGTAGAGCTAATGAAGCAGCTCTTCTAGCTGTGGTGGTGGTGTTTGATTGGTCAAGGGATTCACTTAGAGCCTCTAGTTCTTCAAGGAGTTGAGCGTTGGAATTTCTCTTGGCAGAACAATCAGCTGCCATACTAATGAATGAAGAAGTTGTTACTGAAGAAAATGGTGATGATGATATCACAAAAAGAGAGAGAGTTTTGGGATTGGGAAGAAGATAAGATGCTCACATGCTTGGAAGGTTGGTTTAACTTAAAGGACTTGAGGTGGTAAGACTATGTTATAAATGATGATGAAATAGTGAAGTTGCTGGTCCTTTCTGAACCAAGAGAATCTAAAGAAGTATATTTGTGGTGGACAAAACATGAACGATGGCATTATATTGTGCCTTGAAGAGCAAGACAAATTTGAAAATTATAAAGCAAAGTGGTCCCATCGAATTTAATGTTGGTTTTCCCTAGCTAGATGTAAGTGGTAACGAGTAACTGTGGTAACCTTTGCATTGGTGACAATTTTATATTTGCGGGGGGGAAATAGAGGAAACTTGTAATGAAAAATCAGTCAAATATCAATATGAAAAGGCTTGGGCAATAGCCATTTGAATTGGATCAATTGGCTGCCACCCCATAATTTTTCAGGTAAGATGAAGGTAACTATTATAGTAGCGATAAAGTTGTTCCTTGTGATCGGAAGGTTATTAGTTCGAGAATAAAAAATAATCTCTTTGAAAAAATACAAGAGTGAGGTTGTTTAAAATTGATCCTCACTTGTACTCAAAAAAAAATCTAAGAAGTTTTTAAATTATAGGTATAGCAAGTATCCTTTTAAATGACACAAATTTTTTTCTTTTATCAATTTTAACTATGCATTTCCGATAATGCATAATTATAATATTAAAATTATATTATTTTTTCTTTTTTCAGAAACTGCTTACATGGAAAGTGAAAAAAATATAACTTTAATATTATAACTATGTATTTCGCATAATTAAAAACTATTAAAAGAAGATAAGTTTGTGTCTTTTGAGAAGACGTTCCCTTTTCCCTTAGATTATTTTGGTTGAAAGAGTAATTGTATCTCAGGCAGTTGTCAGTCAAACAAAGTAGTCGGGTTGGATTAAGTTGCTGTCAATGATTGCTTGGCTACGCTGCAGCCATGCGAGTTAGTACACATTGCTATTTACTTCATAGGTATTGAAAGAGAAATTCTTTCATGTTCTAAGAGCATACGTGTATAACAGCATATGCACAAAATATTGCTATTTTTTTCCCCCTTGTCTTTTAGAGGCCTTAGAAAATAAGGTTTAGAAAAGTTGAAGGATAAGGAAAATAGGTCCACCAGTTAAATGCATGTTTGCAACCCAAGGAATAAAAACTTCAGGTAAAAAACAATAGCAGAGTAGTAGAAGACGTTTTTTCTGCACTTCCTGTCACTGAGAAAGCAAAATAGTGAGTTTCTTCCCTTGGGATTGGGAGGACCTCAAAGAACACTTTAATGCTTAGTTTTTACTGCTGAAAAATGCCATGTTTCTATTGCTTTTGGCCATGATTCTATTTCTTTTCTATCTTTACACAATTTTTTTGCTCTAGTTTTGTTATTTTGTGTTGAATTTCAGAATCAATTAAAACAAGTTAAACCTCTCTCTTGTTGCTTTCACTAAGCCTTTCCTATCTGTATTTCATATTTCCTACAAAAAAAAAAATGTTTTTAAGTCTACTTTTGAAGTCACCATGTGTTATTTTCAACAAATGTAAATTGCATAGAAGGAATACAAGATGGAACAACCATAATCAAATGTAAGCCTTTCCTGTATGCAGTCATTTACTATTTGGTTCTAAGTCTACCTTTTTGAAGTCACCATTTGTTGCTTCCATCAAATATAAATTGCATAAGATGAATGGAAAAACCATTATTAGATGTCTTAGCGTAGATTTTCCTATGTAATTTGGTCATGCTATTATCAAGATATCCCATCTTCTCTGCATAACAGAACTTGTTCGCTTGAATCTGCTTCTCAAGAAATGGATTGTTACAGCTTAATTAATGATCTCGAGTTCGAATTTTGAGTGCACCGTTGAGTTAAAAACTTGGTTAAGAGAGCTTTGACGTCTATCCAGCTTGACCAGATTAGTCAAGTAATCGATAAAACGGTGGAGAAATAATCAAAAAGTTGCATATCAAATTAATTTAGTTATCACTAAGTGCATATTTAGTTATGACAACTATGATCGAAGAAGGAAAAATGGATTAATATAAAATTAATGTAATATTAAGCAATTGTGTATTTTGGTCTAACCACTTAATATATATATATATATATAATATATATATATATATATATATAATATATATATATATATATAACTTAGAGGATATCCACATTCAACTTCCTCTGGTTCAAAAGCTACACCCTCATTGGAACAGAGTGCTTGAGATACGATTTGAACTCGTGACCCAAGTAAATCATTGGAAGCTCTGCCAACTAAGGTACCTTGGAGGTTAATATATTGATTTGGTTCAATTCAACAGCTAACTTTGATTTTGACGGGTATGAGTGTGTACTATCTGATTCAAATGCCATTTCTATGGAAACTCCTGGTATATATTATGAAAATAATACTTTTAATTATTTATATGATATCTCATGATCTAAATATATATATATATATATATATATATATATATATATATATATATATATTACGTGATGTGTTATATTTTTATTAGATTATGTAAGCATGTAGATTACCAATTTATTTATTATATAAGCATGTCTTTAAGTACATAGAAACAAATCTTCGGTATAACGGGGGTATAAGGGGAGTGCATTTATTATGCTCCGCACTATTATTTTTTAGATGGTCTCTTAGTGTAAATGAAAGGATAAAATTGAGGAAGAGAAAAAATAACAGAAAGAAAAAATTGATATTGTGAGAGAGAGCATCAAGTTATATAGTGGTTTTAGACCATAAAAAATATTTCCGGATATACTTATATCTTACCAAAAACGAAAATTTTTAAGACTTAAAAATAAAAATTGAAAGCTGGATTCAAATAGAAAAACACTTTCCGCATCTGAAACAAAAAAAGAGAGGAGAGTATCCACTTATCTGCACTAAAATTTGTTCAAGTACATAGACTCCAAATGCGCCAAAATAAAATAAAATAATTAAGGTGGAGGGAGAGCATGGCAATGCGTTAGGCCCATTTGAATAGGTTTTTTGAAAAAGAACTTTTTGTGTATTTTTTTTTCTTTTCAAAATCAGAGTTATTCTGCATTTGAAATTAAATTGTTTACAAACTAAATTGTTTACAATCCAATATTAACAGTTAATTTTCATCAATCTAATAGTTATAATTTATTGATAATTAATAATTAATTAATAAATATGATCTAATAAATTATAATTATTAGATTGACAAAAGTTAATAGTTAAAATTTGATTATAAGAGTTTGTAAATAATTTAGTTTGTAAATATAACCCTCATCTTTTTTGAATCAATATATAAAAATACTTTTAACCAAGAAGTAAAAATCTTGACTTTTAAATAAGATATTTTTTGTTTTTTTAAAGTTACTTTTTAAAAAAGAACTTGTTCAATTCATAAGGAAACACTCAAATTTACAGAGAGAGATTTGTTTTTTAACTTCTCATTGAAAAGTATTTTATAAAAATTAATTGATAGTCATAAGATTTGCTCTTATTTATTTTTTATATTTTAATTTTGTAAGTAGTTTATGTTTTATTTATTACCATTGAAGTCATAGTGGACTTGAAAGTTGCCCTACTAGATTTTTTGGGGTTAAATCATGCCTTAGCCTTTATCAGGTTAATAGATTCATCAGACTTAAGATATTTTATATAAATCTGAGTTATTTAAGGTAAAGCCCAATTTATAACCCTAGTTACTTTATTTTTATTTTTATAACAATAACCCTAGTTACTTTATATGATTACTTTTATTAAGCAGCTCGGAAATTTCTTCCAAAAATTACTTTATTAATGATCATTAAGCAGTTTAATTAATTATTAAATTATACCGTTATGATATTAGATATTTGTTACGTTTCTTAGTGCCTGTTTGGATCTTTTTTTTTTAAGCTACAAGCTACTTATAAGCATAAGCTAGGCCAAACGGATTTTGGGAAAAGCTCTTATAACGAAAAACTCTTTTTTTTATAATGAAGAAAAAAGCTGAAAATTAAAAGCTCCTAGGAGGAGCTTTTTTTTAAGCTCTTATCTGTTTTTCTTGAATTGTGTTCTTTTTTTTAAAATAAAGAGTGATAAAGATAGAAAGAGATAATTTTCTTGAAATATGTGCTTTTAAGTAATTTTTAAGCTAAAACTTTTATGTAATTTCCAAACAGCTTTTAGCTTATTTTTTTAAGCTCTTTTTTTTAGCTTTAGCTTATAAGTAGCTTCTAGCTTAAAAATAAGAGGATCCAAACAGGCTCTTAGAATCATTTTCTAATTTATAATTTCTTTTATTCGTGATATAAATTTTTATTTTCTAAAATTAAGAAATCTTCATCTCCATTTAAACTTAGAAAATAAAATATGGATGACTTGAACTTAGAAAATGCATTGCAGCTCCAAGTAGGTTTTTTTTTTCTTGCTGGTGAGATGTGCAACTCAATTTTATACCCACATAAATTATTAGCCCTGCATTTTATGTATCTCTTTTCTCCAATAGAAACAGAAATATGGGTCTCATTAAACATGAGCAAATTTAATCAAATATGTGATAATAATAAGTGAAGTTAACATCTGTTCTTACAGTATAATTAAAAAAAATTAAAAGAGCTTTGTCATGGATGACTTGAATTAAATTAATTGAGTAATGAATGAACCAATGGATAATATATAATAAAAATACATTAAATAAAAAATAATTAATATCTTAAAAGCTTAATAATCTAATTTAATTCAATCCTTAACATGTAATTTGAAACCCTTTTTAACATAGTAAGGATTTAATATTTCTCATATTATCAATAAATTTTATCTTCTATATACATAAAAATTTGTGAAATCACATGTGAGAAGAATAGAAAAAATAAATAAATATGAATCACATAAGATAAATTTATTTTCTATAAAATAAGAGTAATAATACACAAAAGCCAAACCAATGCCATTGTTGTGGGGGTATCAGGTTCCGCAACAATTCAAGACTAAAAAAAACTCAAACCTTACAAACACGAGCACTTTTGTAGTGCATCAGATGTATTATATATCAGTCTAAAAGAAATTAAAATTTGAAATTTGATGATAAATATTTTAAAAGATATAAGTTAAGGGATAAGTTATTTTATCTATTTTTTTTCTATCTTTGTCTACAATTCTAAAATACCATTAGATCAGAATCTTAATTAACATTTATCTTTCTATCTCTTCATGATATTTTGCTAACGAAAATATGATATACGTACATCTGATACATTAAATGAAAAGAAAATTTTCTGCTTTTTGTAAAAAGATGCATCCACTTGGTACATGTACGTACATAAGAAATTTCCTACAAACACAAACACTGTATAAAATGGTGTAGATGTAGCCGTTATTCCGCATCTTCTCTTGCCTCCTTCACTTTCATTTTATGCCTTATGAGAACAAACCCTCTCTTTCGATGGGCTTTTCAACCCTTTTTTAAACCCTAATAACGCTCCACGATGACCCACTTGTAAATTCTCAATTTTTTAGCTGAATTTCAACTGTAATTATTCGATTCCCAATTCCCCCCCCTGAAACCCTAATTATTTGCAAATGACCCACTTGTAAATTCCCAATTTTGCAGCTGAATTTTGAGCTGGAATTGATAGCATCACGCGACCCGTTTCTGGGAGAAAATGGCAGACCTCGATCTGTCCAAGAAAGTAGCTGATAGGTATCTTAAGCGTGAAGTCCTTGGTGAAGGTACCTATGGTGTCGTATACAAAGCCATTGACACCCAGGTAACTTTTTCTTCTTCTACTGTTAACTTGTTCTGAATTTTTTTTTTTTTAATTATAAGGACTTTCAAATGAAAAAAATGATTTTTTTTTTTAGTTTATCTGGGTTGTGAGAATTGGGTCTGTGAATAAGATTTGGAACTCGAAAGAGAAGTTTCAGTCTCTTATAGTAAAGATGGGGTTTAGAAAAATCTGTGAATAAGTGGAAAATACATCTTTGTATAGAAACTTACAGGAATGTGGTATGGGAATATACATTTATATGCCTTTTAAGTTGTTAAAGTATGAGTTTGGTAAAGTTATGCATTATTATTCTTATTAGTTGCAATGGAGAATTCCAATTTCTTCTCCCCCCCCCCCCCCCCCCCCCCCCCCCCTTTTTTTTTTTTGAGAGCGGGCGGGGTTACTATTTGATTGTGTTCTGGAGATATGGTTGCGTAAATGTCTTCATGAACTGGGCTTTTGTTCAATAATAATAGTACTATACTACTATTATTATCTTGTGGTCCTTATAAAGTTGTATTTATTGCTTGGACAGACTGGACATACGGTTGCAATTAAGAAGATTCGGCTAGGCAAGCAGAAAGAAGGGGTGAATTTTACAGCTCTTAGAGAAATTAAACTGCTTAAAGAGCTGAAAGATCCAAACATTATTGAGTTGATTGATGCGTTCCCCCATAAAGGGAATTTGCATCTTGTGTTTGAATTCATGGAGACAGACCTTGAAGCTGTCATACGAGACCGAAATATTTTCCTTTCACCTGGGGATATAAAATCTTACCTTCAAATGACGCTAAAAGGTCTTGCTTATTGCCACAAGAAATGGGTTTTGCATAGGTACATTATGTTACTGATTTGGCCATTACAAAACCGTTATTTGTTTTTAGTTCGAAGGTCAAAAGTTTGCTTATGTATTTTCAGGGATATGAAGCCAAATAACTTGTTGATAGGACCTAATGGACAGCTGAAACTTGCAGATTTTGGTTTAGCACGGATATTTGGGAGCCCAGATCGCAGGTTTACTCATCAGGTTTGATAATAGCATGTGAATCCTTTTGAGTATGTGGGAGTTAGCACTTAGATTGCTAGAATTTGCAAGGCTGGAAAGGGATGTACCCTAGATTTTTTTAAGTCAGGTTTGACTTTGTATGGTGATTTACTCTGGATTTATATGAAAAGATAGGGTATAGCTTAGTGGAGCATACCTTGAAATCCCCATTATTATTGCCTGGTTTTGTCTTAAAACTTAATTAAAACATGGGACTGAATATTCTTAGGACTAAATATTCTTGAGACCATACATTGGCGTATTGAAGTAGAAGTGTACTAGAATTTGGTGCATGTTTTCTAGGATTGTGGTTCTCTAGGATAACCATGTACTGGAGTGACTCTGAAGAGCTGAGTACAGTGTGTTGAACCAGTAACAGCTTACTCACCACTCACCAACTTCTGTGGAATAAAAATGTTTCTTTAGGAACCCTTGTCTTCCTTTCAATTTATTTTCTCTTCTAGAAGTCAGCGTCTGCATAATATTGAACATAACATGTTTCATCTTTATGTTTGTATTTTGCAATTTCTCTTAATGGATCTACACAGTTGACACTTCACATGAATAGGTGTTTGCTCGATGGTATAGAGCACCTGAGCTATTATTTGGTACCAAGCAGTATGGTTCAGGGGTAGATGTTTGGGCTGCAGCTTGTATATTTGCTGAACTTCTTCTTCGTCGCCCCTTTCTGCAGGTAACCAAGATTGTTATGGTTATTAGGTTATATATGGATTATATTTATGTTAAATCATAAATGGTTGATGTTTGGAATAGATGGATTTTTTCTCCTTAACAGTTGACCATTTATTGGGCAGTTGAACTATTTAACTTTTTCTTTTCATGAGATTAACCATTTAACTTTATCATCTAGTTCAAATTGGAGTCTGAATAAACCCTTTGAAGCAGTTTTACTCAATTAAGATTAGCTCAAAGGCTGTTGGCTTATGGTGTTTATACTTTATAGATATTTTTGATTTAATTTTGGTTTCCATCTTATTCCTTTTCTTCTTATTTTTTTTTTATGTAGCTATTTTTCTTTTATTCTAAGTGCGTAGATGTCATCTATTGCATTGATTGATTTAATTCATTTATTTCTGTGTGCTTAGGCATCCTTCTTCTGGTAATTTCACGACTTTGTTTTCTTCATTTGGTAGGGTTCAAGTGACATTGATCAATTAGGAAAGATTTTCGCAGCATTTGGAACTCCATCACCTTCTCAGTGGCCTGATATGGTGTATCTTCCCGATTATGTTGAATACCAATATGTTCCTGCTCCGCCTTTGCGTTCTTTATTTCCAATGGCAACTGATGATGCTTTAGATTTGTTGTCAAAGATGTTTACATATGATCCAAAAGCTAGAATTTCAGTGCAGCAGGCATTAGAGCACAGGTAGGTGCCTTAAACATTCCGTTAAGGAAAAAAATGCTTTCTTTCCTTTCTTTTTCCCTAATTTAATCTCTCCTCTTCCACTTTAGGTACTTTTATTCTGCACCTCTGCCCACAGATCCAGATAAGCTTCCAAGACCTCCCCCTAAGAGGGAACCTAAGGTTTCAGATTTCAATTCACATGACGGTCCTACTGTCTTATCACCTCCAAGAAAGTCAAGGAGAGTGATGCCAGGGCGTGATGGGTTTGAAGGAAATTCTTTGCAGGGAGATAAGGTTAATGACAATGCTGGTAATTTCAGACAGACAGTTGATGATAATACAGGCAAGACTGAGCCAGCACCAATGTCGTTAGATTTTTCTGTCTTTGGATTAAAGCCTCCAAATAGACCTACAATTAGCAGGTAAAACAATGTTAATCATCAAATCATTTCAAAGTGGCCTAATAGTTTGTACTTTGTAATTTTAACAGTGTCAAACATAATTTTATTCTTGAGCTTGCATATTGAGCCATAAACCTTTTACTAATTTTATTGAGTTTGGAAGAACATAATAAGCAAGGATTTATACTGTGTAGTTTGTATGTTTTAAATTTATGACTAGTTTTGTGAAGGCATTCAACCAAATTGAATCTAAAGGTTGAGTATAAAATTTTGTTAAATTTAAATGGGGGAGCTCTGCGAAAGCAACAATTGTATTAGTAGTGTACCTTAGTACTGTACTGTCTATATCGCAATTTACACCAAACTTTTGAAGCTATGTTGTGATTTACAATCTTCATTTTTAAGAATAACTAGGATTTTGGAGACCCAAATTGTTATTGGTGTTTAATATGCTTATTTTCTATGATGGAATTCATCATGAGTCCATGACTCATGAGAAGCCTAACAGTGGAAGGGGAAATATAGAATACAGTTTCATCTTTTTGATAGAGTTGAATAATGCAAATGCAAGTGTGTGATATTTTTTTGTCTTCTAATTTCTACTTGTAAATGACGTTACATAATTAGTTCCTTTTTGTTCTGCAGTGCTGACAGATCACATTTGAAAAGAAAATTAGATCTAGAATTCCAGCAGCCAGAATGAATGTTCTATGACCAGTGCATCAGTACAAGCAGTCCAATGCATTTGAGAAAATGCTGTGAATTGGCTGTGATTGTATGTCATTCCTTATCTCTGTATCTATGCGTGAAGCTACTATGGATGTGTAGATGTTTAAAGGAAGAAGTGGCAGTGACAGCAGATTAACATCTCACTTGAATAGTAGTTCAGAGACCCTAAAGCAAGTCTTATAGAGAAGAAAAAAAAAAAAGAATTATAGTAACCATACTTTCTGGATCACTTTGTTCTTAATTTTTGTTCTTTGCTTTCAAGAGAACTTGTATAAGTTCACGGAAGATCTTGAGTGAGGGCATTTTCTTGGGTCCTTGCTGTATCTGTCGATTGAAAAAGAAATGGTTTGGGGAAACTGAATTTTAACACTAATTTGGTATTGAACATAAGAGAAATTATTGTTTACACTTGGAGTGTATAATATGTATTTTCTCGGGTGCTTCAAGCAGGTTGTGTACTGAACAGAAGTATTTTTTTTAGATATGGTGGTTGATTTTTGCTGATTGCTTGCATTTTCGGGCGTGTCGTGTTTGTTCCATTTGTTTACAGGATGAATGCTCTTTATGTGCACTTTTGAGTGTCTGGATTAGGTAATTTTTTTTTTTTGATTCCACACAATTTTTCGAGATCTATGCAATGATATTTCATTTGGTATATTTTATCTTTCACAAAAAAAATTCGAATTTACAACAATGATACTATAAGAACGTTTAAACCTAGATTAATAAAGAGAAAATCACTGTCATGATTAGAAACATTTATAGTAAAGATCTTTATGATTATGGTACCATTGTGTTACTTACTGAAAAAATTCAAATTCACAAAAAAATTGCTTAATTCGAACACCCGAGTCAAAAGTTATGGACTTTTAAAGTCTTAGAAGAGAGACACGCTCCACAAAGGACTCATCAGGTGCTGACACGTGACACAAAAAGTCAACAGTTTGATTGTAAAACTTTGGAAGTCCATAACTTTTGATTTTGGTGTTCGAATATTTTTTTTTTTTATTCCACACCATTTTTCAAGATCTACGCAATGTGGTCTCATTGAAGGGGATTTGGTGAAACTTCGAAAGATCATAACTTTGGTCTCAGGTGCTTGAATCAAGTTTTTTTTTTTTTTTTCCCATTACTTTTTGAGACAAAACATGTTGGCAAGTCCCCTTGGTCAAATTTTTTTTTTTTTTCAAAAAATGCTTCCTTGTGTTCCGTTTTGCATATTTTATATCTCTGAGTGTGAACGGCGTTATTTAAGTTGAAGTTTCGTATCCCATAAATATAATTTCAATTTGCAACAATAGTACCATAATCATAGGATCTTTACTAGGAATATTTCTAATCACGACAATGATTTTCTCTTTATTAATTTGAGTTTAAACGTTCTTATAGTATTATTGTTGTAAATCAAATTTTTTTTGTTAGAGACAAAATATGCCAAATGAAGTGTCATTGTGTAGATATCAAAAAATTATGTGGAATAAAAAAAAATATTACCTAATTCGGACACCTGAGTCAAAAGTTATGGATTTCCAAAATTTTATCGTCAAACTGTTGACTTTTTGTGTCTCGTGTCAGCACCTGATGAGTCACACCCCTTGTGGGAAGTGTCTCTCTCATAAAACACGCCATCTGTGGGGAGTGTTTCTCTCCGACCAGTCACATCCTATGTGGGGCATGTGTGAGTTCTATAGATTTGTATTTACATCTAAAATGACTATATTTTCATAAATATTTATTAAAAAAATAATATTTAAATTTTTTTGCCAATAAAAACTAGTTTCTAACTCTATCCGGAAGTTTAAATTTTGACTTTTCTAAACAAAACTTTGCTCGCACCGAACTATCTAAACATGGAATAAAACTTTGGTACTAGTGTACCTAGATTCAGTGCATCCTATCAATGAGAGCATTACACATCAGAGGAGAGACAAAAAATTTGACAGAATTTTTTTTTTTAAATTGATATATAATATTTTTATTGGTGGGATGAACTGAATTTTTGGTACAACAGTAATACCAAAGATTTATTCCTAAACATGCAATAATATTTTACGTTTTTTTAGGAAATAACAATTGTTAACCAAAATAATTTATTATTTAACAGAATTCCAGCATGGGATTTGGTGTTGATACTGTATACTACGGAATATTTACTGCCATAAATATATTGATGCTGAGTTTTGGGTCTATACAATAAGCATTATGCTAAGGTAAATAGCAAGTTCACATAAAAGTAGAATGGAGGTTCTTTAACTATCAAAGAGTAACATTCTGGTCACCCGAAAGTGTATCAACTCGGACTCCACTGTCTCGTACTCTTATTGCTGCCTTTTTTGCCTGAACAATAAAAATACTATAGTTAAGTGTCAGAGTTGATAACAAAACTGAGTTGATGATAAGATGACTTACTTCTTTCTCCCAATTGGTGCGTAATGTGACTACAAGAAAACACACCACTTGCACTGTAAGTGCTAATAAAATCCCCAAAAATAATCCCTGTATTATGAAGAATCAAGATAATTTCAAAAGCATTAGCTCCACAAGTTTACTATTAGGCAGAACAGGAACATGATAACACAATGTCACAATGGTTAAATCTTACCCGTCCATCCATATGGAGGACAAAAGCAAACACAACTGCTAAAGGAACACCCACAAGATAATAAGATCCTAGATTGACAAATGCACCAAGCTTCTGCCAACCACATCCTCTTGCAACACCTATTCAGTATCAAAGAATTAGCTAAGTTCACGAGAATGATACGGGGGAGTCCAAAACCCTTGCCAATGAACACAAATGATAAATCACAATAAGTGAATCGACACCACATCTCAACTCAAAATCGCTTAAGTTGTATGGGTTTTTTTTACACTTATATGATACTCACTTGGAGCATTTCTAAATGATGTGAAACTTCATTAATACTCACTTGATTATTTCTAACATTATGAAGATAAACAGAGGGGAAGGGAAAAAAAATGAAAATTTTTGGAGCTCATTGAATGCTTTTATTCAATACCTTGGAATGCTGTTTGAATTGAATCTACAAAGGCTGAACTTGCAAGAATTGGCATCATGATTGTCACATATCTGACCACTTCATGTATATTGGTAAATGCACGGCCCCAAACGTTCCTTACCAGCATAAGGAAAGTAAATTCTAAAAGTCCCACTATGAAGGCCATGAATAAGGTGACTTTAACAGCTAAATATGCAGCTTCTGGACAACCAGCCCCTAGTTCATTTGAGATCCTTGTACTGTTCAGTGGAAACATGTAATGAGACTCGTTATGGTCAATAATAACATTAAAAAATTGCAACATTGTCTATGGTGATAGCGTACACATTTTTGAATTTGTTCATCCATGACTTCTGAAAAGTCAGGGGTTCAAATTCAAGAAACGGGCCTTTTGCAAATATGCAAATGTAAGACTACGTATAAAAATTACCCTCACTCCATTCTCATCAGGGAGTGTTTTTATTTATTTATTTTTTATACTAATAAAATATAAGCAGTACATTTCAGCATGAAAGACTAACCTTCCAGCAGCACTAACTCCAAATGGTATCATCCAAAACATACCAGTTGTATTAAGGCTGATGATGAGAAAAGTACAGTTGGTCATTGACAACAATGCAGGAAAATGGAGAAACCAAATGAGAAAAATAAAAAGTAAATAAAATAGCACGCTATATAAAATTCAAAACATACAGTAGCATAGCCCTTAGGATCTTAACTCAAAAACTAACCATATAGAAAGCACTGAAGTTTGCAATTTCGGATTAGGAAGAGCACCAGACAAGAGCACCATCAGTTCAAACGTCCATGTTTCTAAGCTGTAACATGGTAACACATTAAAGCAGCAATTAGAAATTATGAACATTGGTCATTCACATTACTAGTCACAAGTAAAAGATATAAGATTTTGCAAGTCATTCTATCTGATCCTTCAAAAATATACCCAATAGTACATTAGTCCTTTATTTATCAAGGATATAACTTTATAATAATTATTGCCATCAATTTTTTTCTTCAAGAACCATTTTGGTGTCATATTAAGGACCAAATTGATGGTAAAAATATGATATATAAAAGGACTAATTAATGCATGTGTATATCTTCAAAGGACTAAAGTAAATTTTGTTTCAGTACTAATGAATATCATATCATACCAGACCATAACTGTTGAAGGAAAAGCAAGTCTGAGAAATTGAGGGATGTTATGCAAGGATTCCCTTGAGAAACCAGTCCAAGTGTTTTTGCATGAAGAGGAGAACAAGATATAAAGTGCTAGTAGTACCATGTTAAGCCAATTTGAAATTCCAATTGCAATAGCAGCTCCTTTGAGGCCAAGTCCAAATTTTAGAACCAAAACCCAACAAACAAGGACATGTGCTAAGCTAGTTAATCCAGAAGCTAGCACCATAGGAAACACAATGTTCTGAGTTTGTAAAAATTTAACAATGCACCGAAGAAGACCATTGGCAGAAAGGCTTGGAATCATGTAACGGGCAAATAGTTCAGCTTGTGCTGCAATAGTTTTGTCTTGATGCAGAACAATGAGAATGGGCCTTAAATTTGCCCAAATAATGCAAATGGGTATAGTAACAAGGGTTGTAACCAACATTGCTCTCTGTGTGTGTATGCCAACCATATGATACTGCTTTGCTCCATATGCTTGACCACAAAATGTGTCCAATGCACTTGACATTCCCATCTAAACGAGTCATAAACATAAGAGTAGCAAAGAGTATAGACTATAGAATATATCATGCAGAGCAAAGAAATATATAAAATTATATACTTGTGTGTGACATTTTAAATTATATGATACTTTATTGAGAGTTTGACCTACATTAATGAAGTCTTATTTTTTATTTTTATTTTTGGATGATGATATTTCCAAAGTTCAATGTGTTCCTTTTACATTTCATATCTTTATTTTAAAAAGAATAATGCTATATTTTTCTGAAAACTTCACCTAATATATCCTCAATTCCTTAGAACAAAAAGTATTGCTTAAATAAAAAAATTCAAGAAATTTAAAATAATAAGATTTTGTTCTTTAGTCAATTAGAAGAATATGATATATATGGTTCATTTATCAAGAGGGTTTATTTATTCTTTTTAAAAAAAAATATATGCTTACTGAGTGAAATTATTAATATTTTAAAATTTCTATTTATATTCTTTTCTAGTTCTACTTTTAATTATCATATTTTAATTTTTTTATTCAAGCAAAACAAGTATATTTTCATTATTTACTTGTATTTAATAGAAACTAATTTAAAAGGTTATAGTTAAAATAAATTAATGAAATGTGTAGATAAACAATATAGAGTGCTAATAATGTTCCCTTTTCCCGTGTAAAGAACTAAAGAAGTGATTCTGTTTTAAATTCAAAACCGTTGAGAACTTCTATAGAATCTGTCTAATGCATTTTCCACTTGGTTAGTTGAATAATGTTATTTGCAAATAAAGAGTAATATTGTTCTTACACTTTGCTCGTTTAAGAAAAAATAAATAAAAATGTTATAATATAGGGAGCATTTAATCTCATATTGTAAGAGACACTCCTCTCATATCATAGATCCAACATATGATGGGTCTCACCATGTGTCAAAAAATAAAAAATAAATAAATAAAAGATATGTTTATCAATATATCTACAACATAAGATAATTCTCTCATGTTTCATGAGAGAATAATTTTTCTATAATATATATGTATGGATTTTTATTTTTCTGCCGCTAACGACAGACATAAAAAATCTGCTGCACATACAAAAAAATGCAAGACCCATTATTAAAAAACGAAAAACAGCACGCAAAACAATGTAAGAGTAACTGCATAAAGGATTTTGCACTTAATGCAGAAACAATTTTCTCTATATGTATATATATATTTTTGTTTTTTAATGGAAGGTGGGACCCATCACATTACTATTTATATATATATTAGTATTTAAAAATTAAATAGTATAAGAATGATGTAAGTTTATGGTGTACGAATATTAATTGTACGAGGATCAATAATGCATTGATACTGAACACATCAATCATGAAGGAAAATTTTATGAGGGGGAGAAATTGCAAAGTATATACTTCTTTGAAGTTATAATTATTTTTAGAGATTAATGTTTATCTACACACGTAAAAGTCATAAAAGTGTAAGTGTGTGAAACTATGTTATTTTATGTGTATAGCAGATAAAATTATGAGAAAAATGTTTGTCATTTTAAATGATATAAACTTACGTCATTTTAAGAGAGAGATAGACACATAATTTTATTTTTTTATTTAAAATTTAAATTAAAAAAAATTACTCATTTTCTCTCTCCTATGATTTTCATTTCCTGTGTCTATATCGTTCCTTAAATGACATAACTTATGTCATTTAAAATGACAAACATCAAACCCTAAAATTATATGTTATAACATGAGAAATATTAATCCCTATTTTTATAATTAACAAAATAGAAATGATGCTCATAAATTTTTTATAAATTTAAAGGGAAGATCGTTCCCTAACCCCTTCCTCACACCACTACTGAAAGAAATCCATAACATACATGCATAGATCTTCCATAGCATATATAGATGCATAGATCTTACAAATGCTTGGGACTACAACAGAAAAGAAAATGATGTGAACATACATACCACTACATTGAAACCAGTGACATTGACAAATGAAATAGCCATAGCAGCACCAGCCAGAAGCAACTCGTCCAAATGCCCAACAAATATGAGAGATACCATTTGTAAACTGTACTGAAACACACACACAAATATCATAGGCCCTGCTAGCCATAGTTGCTTCTTTGCTTCTTCTACAATTTCCTTTCTCCATATGGCCATTATTGTGGCTACTCTCTCTTTGTTGAACTGAACTCTCACACATAATAAAACAATCTTCACCGCTTTGAAGACTCAAATATAAAAAAGCAAAATGTCAAATGGTCAAGTTCGTTTTCATGGAAACGTGGCTTGGTAGCCTGATTTTCATTGAAACGTGGCTTTGGATGATTGCCATTGGATTGGAAAAATTTATGTTTGGGAAAATATTAATTGCATTACAATACTTACCTACCATGGCGTTACTCTATTGACTCTTTGTAACTTTTTTTTTTTTTTTAATTTTAGTTAATTCAATCATAATTATTTTTTGAAGCGAGTTGGTTTTCTCGGTATCCCTTTCATGTGAAAAGGAAAAATAATTTCAGCTACAAATGACGTTTCCCTTCATGTACCTTTAAATCCACAAATACTGGTAGAGGACCAAGAAATCACCTGACCCCTCACATATGTAACGGTCACAATAGTATTGTTGAAATTAACTTGAAGATGAATAACTCCCTTTGATATTTTACAAACATGCTTACGCAAACCAATACTCCATTTTCACGCAAACCAATTTTTGGTATAGTTTCGATTCTTTGAGCCGAACATGAGACTAATTTGAAGTGCGCGATGAGTCAGAGATGAAAATATTTAAACCTCTCTGAAATGTAATATATAGAATTGAACCGAGCCCTTTCCTTTTCCATTAAGGGATTTAACCAACCGAGTGAGTGTTTTCTACTTAGTTAACCTTAAATGATATCTAGGATGTGATGGTTAAGGTTTTCTCTATTCTAACATAAAGACAAATTATCAAAATTAACTAAAATTTCTAATTAGTAATCATGAATAAATATAAAAAATTAGTCGCACGAACACCTTTGCATGAATTCTGTCTTGCTTTAGAGGAGCACATAGAGGGAATTATCACCAATGAATTTAGGCCAACTACAACAAGTGAATCTAACATCATATCATAATTCAAAACCTTAAGGCATTGGTTTCATGAGTCCTCTCATTTATATATACTTTACTTAACCCATTATCACTCCCTCTTAAGTATAAAATTCACCATTGATATCCTCTCTCTTAATTGAATATCCCGACCCAAAATACCTAATCCACCTCTAGTCAATCACCTAGCTAGCCCAGGCCCAACTCACTTCTAATATTAGAGTCAAATGGATCTAGGAGAAGCCCGGAACAGGGGATCACTACTAATGTGCTAAGTTAGGTCATTACACAAAGAGGATCCAATACCATATCATAATCCAAAATCTTAACATTAAATTTATAAGTCCTCTCATTTATATATATTTCACTTAGTTTATTATTAATTAATGTTCGACTTTTCAAACTTAAATATCTCAACAATTTTTAAATCGAATAAGGTGTACTACACTTGCAACATTAATGTGAGAGAAACTTCAGTAGAGCCGTAGTATGCTATTGGATACTCATTTTTTTCAATTTTGGAAAAATTCTTTTCATTCTACTCCTCTTCTTTATTTTTATTCTCAAGTAAGTCCTCAAAAACTTTCTTTTCTTGGACAGATGTACCATACATGGGATGTATGGAAGATTTTTCCCATTAATGTCTTCTCTGCACCCTGCATGACAGAACTCGTAAGGCAATTCAAGGTTTATTCTCTGTTTACAGGAAAAAAAAGGTTTATTCTCGATAATCGGTCTATCCTACCTTGAATTTAGTCTCACATATTTATCCTTGCATATTATTAAAAAAAATACTAGACAATTATAATTTTTTAGTCTGACTTTTTTAATTTTTAACATGAATAATAATTAGAGAGATATAATATAACAATAAATGGATCTTTAAGTAACATTGTTGGTTAAGATGATTGTTTAATTATGGTGCAGCAAGCATTTTTTTGGTAAATAAACAATGAGGTTTTTCTTAAAAAGAAAAAAACTAATATGACTAATTTTAACTTATCGTTCATATTAATTATTTATATTTTAAAATCTTTAATAACTAATTTGATTACTTTAACTTTCACAATTACTATATATTATTTCTCTCGCTAATTAAAGTCCTCCAATATTAATTACAGACTAGGAAGCTACTTACATTTTATGAAATTAAAAAAAATGGGTATGTATTAGTGAATAGTTAATTAAGCTACAGATAAGTATGAAAATTCCAATTGATTTTAGTTAAATTAAATCAATCGAATATAATAGTTTATTAATTCTTACATTTAAAATCAATTAATTTTTTTTATCTTTCCTATAACAACCTTAAAAATGTTAAATATTATAAAGTGATAGAAGTATTTATTTTACTCTCCCAGCTTTTTAATGCCTGAGCATGTTCAGTATTCACCATTAAGGGGGTGTTTGATAAGGATTTTTGGGAAGGATGTCTAGGCAACTTGAAATGGATTTTGTTTTTGTCTACGTTTGGTAGAAGAATTAACAAAATTTAGGTAGGAGACTTGTTTACCCAGCCAACCTGTTCTGTGTGCAAAATTTCTTTGAAAGCACTGTTTCAAAAAACTATATTCACAATGGTATTTTGAGTTTATTTTGCTTGGAAAAAAAAAGTTGAACGAATTTGCTGACAAAATTGTCCCTGGTTTCAACTCTCTTTTAAGTCGTACGTATCCTCCAATGGGACAAAAAAATTTAACACTGTTCTTGTTTCTCGATTGAAACCATTCCAAGCATCGAAGCATTTTACAAGGTTATTTCTCGATTATACATATATGTATGCAAACAACAATAACAACTTTCAAATATTTTACAAGGTTATTTCGGTCATTTCAATTCATTTTCCTATTAATCTTTTTTCTTCAACCAAACATAGATTCAGAAAATTTAACCCAAAAGTAATACAAAAAAGAAGAAGAAAATTTAACCCAATTTTCCTGATAATATTTTTACTTATCAAATAACTTTTGTTACATTTTCTTATCAAACTCACTTTCCAACCATTTCTCTCTTAATTACATTTTTTTAGTATTTAAAAAATTTCTAAACGCTCCCTAAAAGAACAATACACAGGTGTTGAGACTCGTGAAGTTTTACAAATTTAAAAAGAAAAAATGTTATATCTTCCCAGTTCCCGAGTGTTAAATGCGCTCAGACTTTTGGTAGCAGCACCCTGTTTTTCTAATTTTTAACAAGATAACCGCAGCATGAAGTTTATATATATATATATGAGGCAGGATCCTTTGACAACGGTGTCAAAGAAAAAGTTTGACACCTCATCTGAGAATCATTAGATTAAAAAAAATCAATGGTGTCACATGTTTACAAATCAGTTGATTTTTTTTAATTAACGGTGAAATTTTTCTTTGACACCTTATATATATATATATATATATATATATGAGGTAGGATTCTTTGACACTGGTGTTAAATTTGAAATTTGACACCTTATTTGAGAGCCATTAGATCAGAAAAGATCAATGGTGTCACATGCTTATAAATCAGAGCAGTTGATCTTTTCTGATCTAATGGCTCTTAGATAAGGTGTCAAATTTGAAATTTGACACCAGTGTGAAAGGATCCTACCTATATATATATATATATATATATATATATATACAAGTGTGAGGGAGGATTCACTTACCACCATTAAAGTATACCACATTTACAACCAATTTGATTACTGTTGGATTAAAATTAAATCCAACGGCTCACGATTAATTCTTATAATCCTAATTTTTTACTTTTCATTCTGTCACATCTTCTCTCATCCTCTCCCAACTCTCTTTAGGTCTTCTGTGTTTTATCCTCTTTTTTTCTAGGATTCACAACATACGCTGAATTTATTTCTTTACGATCCTTTGATCACCCTTTCTTGAAAAGTGTTTTTCTTATTATGATTTTCATACTCGCAAAGTTGCGGCTCAACAGGTATACTGCACATTCCACATAGAACAAATGAAACTAACCTAGAATTTGTGTGTGATATGCGATTAATAAAATGCTTGCTAAAGAAAATAATTCTAGGTAAAGTTGGTCTTTTAGTGTCCCCTTTGTGAGGGTTTTTTTTTATGATTCACTAATTTTCTTTTTTATATTTTAAATTTGATCCCTCTCTAAATTTGTTTTGCAGGTTCTTAGATTCACTTTTTTTTTTTTTATCTCACGCAGGGTCTAGTGAGTTATAGTGATGGATATAAGTTCACTCAATCCTGCACAGATTACTACGATGGAGTCTGCATTTTGTGTTATGCTTTCAAAGGAATAGTTTCCTTATGATGCAAAAGGGATTTGCTGTAGTGAGAATCAAACAACTTTGCTATAACATCATTGATTGAATTGGAGAGTATAGGAACAAGAGAATAACATTATATTCTAAAGAACGAATTTCACAGCCAACAAAGTTAAAAACACATACGAAAATATATGACCAGAAGGCATCTTTCTTATATTTTTCTGATGATCCATACCATAAGGCATCTTGAAAGTCCATATGTAAATCAATTCAAAAAAAAAAAAAAAAAACATTACGTGCTCCTTCAATCTTAGGAAAAAAAAAGATCAAATACGAAAGACCTAGACAGAGTTGGAAGAGGATGAGAGAAGATGTGAGAGAATGAAAAGTAAAAAATTAGGATTATAAGAATTAATCGTGAGCCGTTGGATTTAATTTTAATTCAACGGTAATCAAATTAGTTGTAAAAGTGGTATACTTTAGTGGTGGTAAGTGGATCCTCCCTCATTATGTATATATTATATTGCAACAATTTTTCCTATTTTCACAATAAAAAAATCTCAACACAATCCAAGAAATTCCCAATACAGTCCAAATTGCGCACAGCTTGCACGGCCTAAGACGCAGTTATAGTAGTTTGTAGTTAGTTAAGAGTAGTGGTAAACCCGACTCGATAGAAAACCAGTGAATCGTGACTTAATTGGTTCGGGTTCGGGTTAGCCAATGGATCGTTCATCTAACTGGCTCAATGAGAACCGATTTGACTCGGCCAAGTTTTATCAAAATTAGTGTTCCGATCAGTTTTTGTTAAACCAATCGAATCATGCAT